GTCTGGGGGCGGCTGAGCCGATATCGGTGGGGGAGAGACCCTCGAGCACAGTCGTCCCTCGTCCAGGTGCCACAGGGCTGAGGCTGGAGCCGCCATGAAGAGCCTGAAGGCCAGGTTCAAGAAAGCGGACGTGAGTGCCGTTCCCAGGGACGTGGGGACCCACCCTGGGATGACCCAAATTTCACAGGGACAAGGGGACCTGCCCCGGGATGTCCATGGGGATGTGGGGACCTGCTCCGGGATGTCCCAAATTTCACAGGGACGCGGGGACCTGCCCCGGGATGTCCCAAATTTCACAGGGACGTGAGGACATGGGGATCTTCCCCAGGATGTCCCCAGTGTCACAGGGACATGGGGACCTGCCCTGGGACGTGGGATGGCTGCTCACCATGGGGACAGCAGCCCCATGGAGGTCAGCACCGCCACCCTGGCCGGTGGGATCGAGCTCCCGGTGCACCCAAGGGTGCTCCCAGGGCCATCGTTGGGAGCGGGGCAGAGCAAAGGAAAAAAAAGGCAGCGCCGGGGAGAGGGAAGCGGGCCCCGGGTCCCCTCCCTGTCCCCTCCCTGGGGACGGCTGCAAGCTTTCCAGCTGCCACAGCCAGTGGAGCCAGCATGTCGATGCTCCTGAATTATTCAGCACCAGCCTGGCACGGTGCCGCAGGCTCTCGCCATCCTCCACGTCGGGCAGAGGGTGACAGTGTGTCCCCAGTGCCCACGGCAGCACTGGGCAGACATGTGCACTGGGGTCGCATGGTTGGGGACACATGGACAGAGGTTGAAGCCCCCCACGTGGAGTCTGCGGGCCTGCCCTGCTCAGGGTGCTCTGTGCCTCGGTTTCCCCACGCTGTCCTGGATACTTCTGTGAGTGGGGAGGAGTAAGAGGCTCCTGCTGTCCTGCTGCCCCCGGGGCTCTTCCAGGGACCCTTTGAATTTTGGGGTTCCCTCCTTGAGGGGAGTTTGCTGGACCCCTGAGATGCAGGCAGGGGGTCCTGCCCCTCCCTTGGCCCCAGGGCTGTGGTGGGAGGTAATTCTGTGCCCCGCAGGGCAGGGCAAGGGGTCCCACATCCCCCTCCTCGGGAAGCAGGATCTGGGTGGCAGGAGGATGCTCATCCCCTTGGTTTGGGGGTGCATTGCCACCTCACCTTGAGCATGGGGGGAGAAAGCTGCCCTCCCCCCCCAACCCCTCCCACCTTAACTGGGACCAGGCTGGGGTGCTGGTCCCTCACTGGGACCTTGGTACCTGCTCTGTGGTGGCAGGGATGCGGGGATGCCTGGAGCTCTGGATGCTGAGGAGGGAGGGAGGGAAGGAGGCAAAGAAGGAGGGACGGAGGGATGGAGGGAGGCGGATCCTGGCTCCCACTGCGGCAAGACCCGGCCCCCGCCCGGGCGACGATGCTGGACCGAGTTGGGGTCTGGGGTCCACAGCCTGGAGCCCCAGCCTGCCCTCGCCCAGGCGGGGGGCAAGGGATGCATGGCTGCCCGCCGCCTCCTCCTCAACACCATGAAGCAGATCTGCCTCTGTGCTGCTGCCTCCTTCGCGGTACGTCCCTGTCCTCCATCTCCGGTCCCCTTTGGTCCCGTCCTCCGGGGTAAGCCGTGTCACCCCCACCCCACCTGGACCCCCTGCGTCCCCAGCCCCATCCCGGGGCTCGGCTGCGTCCTCTCCAACCTGCTTTGTCCTTGCATGACAAAGGTGGTGGGGGGGAACGGGCACCACCCTCCCAGTTTGCCCAGTAACCCTGGGAGACTGGTTTATTCCCCAGATGGGGTCCCCTGGCCCCGCAGGGCTGGAGGGGCTTGCAGGGGCACCAGGCAGGCACAGCGGCACGGGCCCCATGCCTGGCACCGGGCACCAGGCTGGCGAGGGGCAGGATGCAAGCAGCTCCCAAAAGGTGACATCCATTTCCTGCCGCCGCGGCCGCAGCGAGCTCCGGTTTGTCGTCACGGGCTGCAGGGTGAACCCAGGGCTTCCCGTGCTGGTCCTGTCCCGCTGCAGGTCGCTCCCTCAGGATGGGGACGTGTGGGACCACTGGGTCAGCCAGCTCCCCATCCAGCCCCAATCCTGCGCAGGGTTGTGCCCCATATATCCCAGGGAGGCTGGAGCCATCCCGGGGGACACGCTCTCGCTGCCAACTGTGCTCACCCCGACTTCGTCCCTTCCTCGTCCGGGAGCAAAGCAGGGCTGGGAACGGGCTCAGTGGGGAGACCTGGGCAGGGATGGGGCTCAGGCACCTCATGGGTGCTGGCTGTGTTTAGCATCGGGATCATTGGGGTGGCAGGGGCAAACCCTGCGGCAGGGGCAACCAGGCAGTGTCGGCTCGCTCCCAAATCCTAGCTGGTCACAGCCTGGCCCATCCACAGCTAAACTGGGGCAGCTCTGTAAATCTCCTGGTCTGTGAGCTGCAAAGCTGGGGGGGGGCTGAAGAGGGTCCTCATCTCAGTCAGCTGTCCCAGCTAAACCTTCCATACCTGGGGGCCAGATACCACAGCACCCGGGAAAGGGATTGGCCCAGAGATGGCCACCCCAAGGGGATAGGGATGGGTGGAAGATAGCAGGGATGGGGATGAGGACAGGCACCCGAGCCCAGCCTAGCACCCTGCCCGTCTCTGGGGACGGCACACCCACCACAGCCTCCTCTTGGCTTCATTGCAGAGCCAGGACTGGACCAAGAGCGATGAGAAGCTCCTGCAAGCTGTGGACTACAATGATGCCGGGAGGGTGACATCTCTCCTCGTCCGCAAGGGCCTGGTCCCCACCAAGCTGGACTCGGAGGGCAAATCCGCGTAAGTGCTGACCCACGACCCTGGGACACCGGGGATGCAGGGCTGGGGACAAGGCCAGGGGCCGGGGATGTGAGTTCGACAGCCCCCGGTCTTGCTGCAGGTTCCACCTGGCCGCCATGCGGGGAAACGTGGACTGCCTCGAAGCCATGCTGGCTCACGGCGTTGATGCCATGACCAAGGA